TCATAAAAGCAAGATCAGAAAGATCAAGCCGTTCACATGGAACTCAACTGTATATTAAAATTAAGCTCAAGCAGATAGGCAGAGGCATGGAAGATTTTTTTAAAGTGAACTACACTTGTAGAGATTAAATTACAATGTCAGGAATAAAAGCTAAAATGGATGGAAGTGAACACAGATTAGACATCACCAAAGAGAAGATTCATAAATTTGAGACATCAGTGAACTATGAGAAAACTTCAAGCAGGAATAAGTCCCCAAACAGGGAAAAAGAGAGACAGAAAAATAATAAAAAAAAGAATGGCCAAAACTTTCTAAATGTAAAGAAAACTATAATCCTACAAATCCAGAAGTATCTGGCTGGGAGAGAGGAAATGAAAGTATACTATTCCAATTTTCTTTTTAAAAAAATTTCAATAGGTTTTTGGGTAACAGGTGGTCCTTGATTACATGAATAAGTTCTTTAGTGATGGTTTCTGAGATTTTGGTGCACCCATCACCCAAGCAGCATACACTGTATCCAATCCATAGTCTTTTATCCCTCACCCGCTTGCCACCCTTTCCCCGCAAGTCCCCAACCTCCATTGTATCATTCTTCTGCCCCTGCATCCTCACAGCATAGCTCCCACTTAAAGTGAGAACAGACAATGTTTGGGTTTTCATTCATAATTTTCTTATGCCATATATGATATGCCATAATATTTTTTGAAGATGGACTGTGATAAGTTAAAATCATATACTATAAATTGTAGTGCAACCACTAAGATAGAAAAAAATAGTTATCGCTAATAAGCCATAAAAGGGAGATAAAAATAAATCATAAAAATTACTGCACTAATTGAGAAGAAGGCAGAAAAAGAACAAAGAACTGCAGGGACCAATGGAAATCAAACAGCTTGATGACAGACAAACCTAACTGTATCAATAAGCACATTATAAATGAAACTGGCCTAAAAATCTCAATTAAAAGGCAGATTGTCAGACTGGATAAAAATGCAAGAACCTACTCCATGCTTCCTATAAAAAAAAAAAGCACTTTAAATGTAAAAACATAAATTGTTCAAAAGAACAGAAAAAGATATACTAGGCTAGGAGTTGACAAAAGAAGCCTGAGAAGAAATGGCTATGTTAAGAACATGTAATCTCAAATGTTTGTGCACCTAATAAGAGCTTCAAAATATATGAGGCAAAAATCGATAGAAGAAATAGATAAATTCACAAGTACAGTCTGAGATTTGAATATCACTTACTCAATAAGTAATAAAACAAGGGAGCAGCAAATCAGCAAGAATGGAGTAGATTGGAACAACACCATGCTTCTCAAGTACCCAGGGAACACTTGCCAAAACAGACCACATTCTAGGTTCTACAACCAATCTTAATAAAAGAATTAAGTCAGAAGGATTTAAGTCATACAAAGTATGTTCCCTGACCACAAGGCAATCAAATCACAAATTAGTAACAAAGTATCTCATCAAAATATTCAAATATTTTAAAACAAAGTAACACATCTAAATAACCCTAGGCCAAAGACATGATGCAAAGAGAAATTAGAGAGTATTTTGAACTGAATGAAAATGAAAATACTACATATCAGGATTTGTGGAACACAGCTGCAACAGTACTTAAAATTTTTTAGCACTTAATGTCTATATTAGAAGACTCTCAAGTCAATGGTCTTGACTTTTATCTTAAGAAACTAAAAAAAGAGAAGAAACTAAAAAAGAAGAACAAATAAACTCAAAGCAAGCAGAGGAAATGATATAATAAACATCTGCTATGGTCTGACATTTGCATCCTCCCAGAACTCATATGCTGAAACTTAATCACAGAGGTGATGTTATCAGAAGGTGGGGCTTCGTGGAGGTAATTAGCTTATGGGAGCCAAGCCCTCATGAATGGGATTAGTGCCCTTACATACAGACCCCAGAGGGCTCACTCACCTGTTCTGCTATATGAGGACACAGGGGGGAAAAAAGGGATCTATGAACCAGGAATTGGTCCCTCACCAGACACCAAATCTGCCAGCACCTAGATCTTGGATTTTTGTGAGAAATCTATTTCTGTTGTTTATAAGCTACCCAGTCTATGGTATTTTGTTATAGCAGGCCGAACAGACCACAACATCAAAGATGAAACCAATAAAACAGAAAAACGATAGGGGAAAAAAAAATCAATAAAGCCACACACTTTGAGGAGGTCAATAAAAGTGATAAAACTCTATCTAGCCAGGTTGATAACAAAAAAGAAGATGCAAATTACTAATTTCAGAAACATAGTAATATGACACTTTTATAGATTCTACAGATACTGAAAGAATAGCAATATAATAAGGTGAGTTTTATGTGACTAAACATGACAACTTTGATAAAATGGACACTTTCCTTGAAAAACAAAAATTACCAAGGTTCAATCAAGAAGGAATAACCTGAACTGTCCTGTATCTATAAAAGAAAATAAAGCATAAGTAAAGCCTTCCTAGAAAGAAAACTCCAGTCCCAGATAGCTATGCTGGTGAATTCTGCCAAATATTTAAGAAGTAATATAACAACTTTACATGACCTCTCCCCCTGCCCTCAAAGGAAAAAAAAAAAAAATAGAGGAGAAATACAACTCATTCTGTCACTCTAGCATTACCCTGAACCAAAATCTGACAATGATATTACAAAAAGAGAAAACTCTCTCATGAACACGGTTGTAAAAAATTAAACAATTTCTCAAGAAACCAAGATATCCTCCTTTAGGTGAGCGAACAATCTCTGGTACAGCCATGCGATAATGAGCTATCATCTCATGAAAAGACATGAAGGAACCACAAAGCCATATTACCAAGTGAAAGATGCCAGTCTAAAGGCTATACACTGTCTGATACCAACTATATGACATTTTGGAAAAGGCAAAACTATAGATACAGTAAAAAAAAGTCAGTGGTTGCCAGGAGCTGGGGAGGGAAGGTGGGAGATGAACAGATGAAGCACAAAGGAGTTTTAAAGTTCTAAAACTACTTTGGATAATACTACAATGATAAATACATGTCCTTACACTTTTGTCCAGATTCACAGAATGTAAGACACCGAGACTGAACCCTAATATAAACTATGGACTTTGGGTGATTGTGACTATCAATTCAGGATCATCAATGAGATCAAGTGTACCACTCTGGTGAGGATATTGATAATTGTGGAGGCTATGCACGTGTCTGGGCAGTGAGTACAAGGATAATCTCTGTGCCTTACTCTCAATTTCACTGTGAAGCTAAAACTACTCTAAAAAACAGTCTTTTAAAATGTTCTAAATAAAACTTTGGCAAATCCAATCCAATGATATATTAGAAGGATAATACATCATAAACAAGTGGGGTTTATCCCTAAATACAGGGTTGGTTTGACATTAAAATACCAGTTATTCACCACATTAAAAAACTAAAAGAGAAAAACCATATGATCATCTCAGTAGATAGAGGCATTTGATAAAATACAGCATTCATTCCTGATTTAAAAAAAAAAAATCCCTTTCAGTAACCAAAGAATACAAGGGAATGCCATCAGCACGATAAAGAGCATCTCTGATAAACCTACAGCTAACATGTGTCATGATGAAAAACTGAATGCTTTCCCTGTAACATCAGGAACGATACAGGAATGTCTCCTTTCACTATTTTAGTCAGCATTGTACTGAAGCCAGTGCAGTTAGGAAAGGAAAGCTACCTGAGTTGAAAGGAAGAGGTAAAACTGTCTTTATTCACAATCATGATCACATAATAGGGATGGGTAAAATCCAGCCTGCGGGGCAGCTTCTTATTTTTGCAAATAAAGTTTTATTGGAATGCAGCTGTGTTTTTTTAACATATGTATTGTCTATGGCTGGTCTCATACTACAATGGCAGAGTTGATGGGCTGTGGCAGAGACCATTTTGTCACAAGTTTAAAATATTTACTATGTTTAGTAAGATAACAGTTTGAAAATGAAAAGGTTTGACTACCTTTGGTGTATGTAAAAAAGCTGATTGAATGGAATCTCAATTTTAAAAGTTCATAAGCTACCCAGATTGGAAAAGACAGTTCACCAAAGCAGATACACAGGTGGCAAATAAGCACATACAGGATGCTCAACATTATTAGTCCTTAGGGTAATGCACATTAAAACCATAATGATATGCATAATGCACACCCATCAGAATGGCTAAAATTTCAAAATTAAAAAACAGCAATAATAAGAGCTTGTGATGATACAGAACAACAAGAAATGTCATACGCCGCTGGTTGGAATGGAAAATCAATACAAATACTTTGGAAAACAATTTAGCAGTTTCTTCATAAAGAAATACAAAGGGACAAGAAGAGACTTTTATGGATGATGAACATGTTAACTTTCTTGATTATGGTGATGGTTTCAAATGTGCATATGATTGTATATTTTATATACATGCAATCCATCTTATATCAATTATACCTCACTGAAGCTATCAACTGCTGGAACAAACATCTAAGACTCTGGGTGGGACACAGAGAAAGAGAAGAGTAAAAACAATGCAGGGTAAAGCTAGAGAATTCAGATTTCTAACCTTATAGCAATGAGAAGTAGTAGCTGAGTTATAAGCAAAGGAATAACATGATCAGATACAAATTTTAAAAAATTTATCATTATGATTGCAGAGTAGACCATGGTTTTAGGAAGTGGGGTATTCGGGAAAACAGTTCTAAGATTCCTAAGTTCCTAAGATTCTCACAGCATTCCAGGTAGAGAAGAATATGGTAACCTGACATTGGGGGTAAGGAATAGGAGAGAAACAGTCAACAAAAAGACTGGGTGTGCCATTCACACTGAGCAAAGTACAGTGGAGTTACCATAGCTCTTTGGTGTACAGTATAAATTAGTTCTCTATTTTAACACTGAGCATATTTCTGAGATGAGCTTCACTATCATAGGTCAGTTCTCAGCAATGTATACACACATTACTGCAGGATACATCAAAAGGCCTTGCATTTATGCAATGGTCCTACCTTTACACTCCATTCTAAGTTGTTCCATCAGCAACATAAAGTTCTCATAAACAGAATGAGACAACTCACAATTCTCTGAGGCTGTTTCAGATGGCTCCACTGAGTCAGCAAAGTCAGCCCCAGGATGTATTTGGTTTTTGACCTATAAGATAAATAATACTGTTTCAAAATGTCTTTGTAAGATTTATAGCATATACTAAATGTACATAAGTGGTATTTCTCCATTTGTTTTGTATGAGCAAAACCACAGGTACTTCTTAAAGCAACAGAATGTTCTTAAAAGGTACTATTATCAATGGCTACTGTTTCTTAATCACTTTTTCTAAGCAAACAGCTTTACAACAAAACATTGTTTTTTTATTTACCTTTTAGAACATGTTTTTTAAAAATAGTATTTTAGATCATTTACTTTTTTACAATACCTTGTTATTTTCATTAGATGCTTTATCTGCAGACCTGAAAAAAGAAACAATTCCTTTTAGAAAAATAGCAAAGATGTAAAATACAAAGAATATCTAATACTACTGTTTTATCCTATAAAATATCTGCATTTGTGTTACTTCTTCTATTCATCAAGTGCACAGGTAATTTTTTTACAGGTGATGTAAAATTCAGTAATTTTCTGCAATGGACATTAAACTATAAACAGAAGCAGCAACATTAAGGGATAAAGAAATTTACTACTACTAATATGATTACAAAGAATTAAATTTAGGCCAAGATTTCTCATAGTAAAACCAAAAGAAAAAAAACATGTTACCTGCATTATGTGATAAAAATAAATATACCAGGTCTCATTGTTGTCCTTTTCAATAAAAACAAGCTTTTACGGGCACTAAAACCTATTTGGAAAATATTGCTCACATTCTTACATAGGGGAAACCCTTTTTTAATGATGATATTAGTTAGCTTTTTCTTGACTTACTATGCAGATACTATTCATCATTCTGAGCACTGTCCATGTGTCAAACTCATATAATCCTCATAACAATTCTGTGAGGTCAGTAACATACTAAGAATTTTATAAAGAAAGAAAATAGGCACAGAAGGGCCAAGTGACTTTCCTCAGCCCATACAGCTGGCCAGTAGCAGACCCAGAACTCAAACCCAAGAATTCTGCCTCAAAAACATGTGTTTCATGATATGCTGTGAAGGGAACATTTATTTGCAAGTGTTTTAAAGAGAGACAATAGCAGACAAACTCATATTGTCGTTCCATTTCTGACCACAACTGTAAATAACTTCAGAATCTTGCAATTTTTTCTAATAAAAAAACTTCATACAGAGGCAAGTTCAGAAACCTATTTTCAAAAAACTAAAAAGTATTTTTAATCAAATCCATCAACAGGTGTTCATTCATGTATTCATCCATTCATTAATACATTCAACAAATAAATACTCATTGAGCACACAATACATGCGGATGGCAATGTTGGTCCAGGGGAACATGGTTTCGATAATTTAGAACTTTATAATCCATTGTAGGGCAACTTGATTAAATATTTTTTTAAAAAACTTTATAGGCCAGGTGCAGTGGCTCATGCCTGTAATCTCAGCACTTTGGGAGGCCAAGGTGGGTGGATAATGAGGTCAGGAGTTCAAGACCAGCCTGCCCAAGATGGTGAAACCCTGTCTCTACTAAAAATACAAAAAATAGCTGGGTGCGGTGGCGGGCGCCCGTAATCCCAGCTACTCAGGAGGCTGAGACAGGAGAATCACTTGAACCCGGGAAGTAGAGGTTGCAGTGAGCTGAGATCGTGCCACTGCACTCTAGCCTGGGTGACAGAGCAAGACTTTGCCACCAAAAAAAAAAAAAATCACTTTATAATCCAGAAGTAATAATCTGTGATAGATTGTCAACAGTTAGCTTTTCTAAAGTACTTGAACAAAACCCTCCCTTTCTCCTCAGAATCTAAACAACTATAAAGTTGATACTCCTGACATTTTAGAGTACCTTAGCAGATCATACCTATTCATCAGGGATGTTTAAATTCTATTCAATATGGCCTAAGTGTTTGCATGTTTATTATTTCACAATTTTAAAAAATCTGCATATGATAATTTAAATTTTAGGTCACCATTTACATGTTCAGTTACACTAATATGTTACATTTCTGAACTAATACGCTAATATGTTACATTTCTGAACTAATGCTGAAGGAACAAACTCTTACCATAAAACTCTATATGAATAAACCCTTTAAGGACAATTAGTTTGCTAAAAATCTACAAAAGATAATGAATCGAGCTTTCAAACACTTAGACATACAAACAAAATTAAATCTCATAAACATGTTCTCCTTGTCCCTATCATTCCCAGCAGCATACAAACATACTCTAAAAGCTTCTATTTTAAAATAAAAAAGAAAGAAAATTCCCTTGAATCCCACATTCTTCTTCAGTTATCACTCATTTCTCTATTGCCTTTCCCAGTAATGGTTCCCTCAAGGGGTGTCTATGCTTATCCACTACAGTCAGGGTTCCATGGCAATTATTTATTCAAACTGCTCCTTGTCAAAGTCACCAGCCCTCATCATAATCGGTCTTTCAGTGTTGATATAGTTGAGTATTCTCTAGCTTTGGCAGACTACACTATTTTCTATTTCCAGAAAAAGTAACCACTGCGAATATTCCTTCTCAGAGAAATAAAGAATTTTTACATTTTAGCTTCTTTCAACCTAATCTATTTCACTTAAACTGCTGTCATCATCTTCCTGTAGCAGACCACGAGTTACTAAATTAGCCTTCTCAAACTTTGGTGTAATCACAGATTATTTTGAAGTCCATTTTTTATTTTCATTTTTCTTTACTTCCTTCATATGTAACGCAGAACCACAACTTAAAAAAATCTATAAAAAGCCAACGTTTTATAATAATTCTACTGATAACAAATAATAAACAATTTTGTAAAATTCCAACTCTTTCCCATCTCAATTCATTAATTTAAAAAACACAGTTATGAATTATCAACAACATATAAAGAAATATATATTTCCTGCCTCAAAAACCAGGTAATATGCAATTATGATACAATGTGTAGTTTAAGAGCTGATATATGAAAAGCTATATTTTAGCACAAGGAAGGCATTACAGAAGAGGCAAAATATAAGAGGAGTTCACCAGAGAAAAACAGAGAAAACTACTCCACTTGGAGAATGGAATGAGGGCACAAAGATTAGTCCCATGGAGTCTAGGTGTTTCCTAGGAACTTGAATGGAAAAATGTAAAACACAAGGAAAATAAGAATGGAAGATGAATGCTACACTAAAAAGCTGGAGTCAGCCAGGCGCGGTGACTCACGCCTGTAATCTCAGCACTTTGGGAGGCCGAGGCAGGTGGATCATGAGGTCAACAGATCAAGACCATCCTGGCCAACATGGTGAAACCCTGTCTCTACTAAAAATACAAAAATTAGCTGGGCGTGGTGGCGCACCTGTAGTCCTAGCTACTCGGGAGGCTGAGGCAGAAGAATCTCTTGAACCCGAGAGCCGAAGGTTGCAGTGAGCTGAGATCGCCACTGCACTCCAGCCTGGTGACAGAGTAAGACTCCGTCACAAAGAAAAAAGAAAAAACAAAAACAAAAACAAAAAACAGCTGGATTCCACTGCACACAGGCAATGACTCTTACACATGAAACTCATATTTAGATCTGTGCTATGTTTTGGGTTTTGTTTTTAAATATAATAATGTTTAAACAGATTAAACAAAGTTTTAAAAATAACAGGCACATATTACATGAAAGAAGAAATCAGGAAAATGTCTTGGGAAGAAAAAAATCTTACTGTTAAAATTCCTAAATGTCATTATAATCATTATATATAGTTCAAAAATAGCAATATTCTGATTAGTTATATAAGTTTGTTTGAAAATAAAATAATTTGGTAAATTTCCTACATGTTTAGTCTAGTATTTAGTCTTAATATAAAAAGTTGAATTTGCCAGTAGAAAATTGTAATTACTTTTTTATGAAGTAAACACACATTATGTCACTATCATTGCATGGAACAGAAAGTAAACCAAAAAACAAGATTAAGGAATAAAAAAAAAAAAAAAAGAGTATCACTATCATATAACTACATACATTAACAAAGAGACAAACATTTCCCACTGGAGATTATGTTAGGAGTTTAGCAGAAGTCTCTGAAAATACCAAAAACTGAAACAAAACTAGTAATTGCTTTTTGTTTGTTTGTTTTTTAACTATGTAGAGAATTTTTCTGGTTAAGACTAAGCATCAAAAAAAGACATCCTCCTTAGAGCAATTATTAAACAATTCCTCTTGACCCACACTTCCAAATTAAGTCCATAGTTCTGGAATATGAAATCATTTTCATTTTAAACATAGTTGATGGAAGGCAACTTTTAAACAGAAAACTGCAGTTTAAAGTTGCCTCAAACTTAGGAAAGAACTGACCTGTAGCCATGGTAGTAACAAGCAACCACCCACAGCCAGTTGTAAATACAGTCAATCAATCAGTGACCATTGGCCTCTCTCACCAACCAATATCAATGTGGGCCACTTGCTTCTGAAAGACAGCCAATCAAACACAAACTCACCCCAATCCACAAACCTGGGAGTATTAACCAACCCACAGCAGCCTTGCTCGGACAGCCATGTTTCTCCAGATGATGTCAACCCTCTTATGCCGCTGAGAGTCTGCCAATCCTTCAAGCCCGCTCCTCCCACAACCCTATGTAAGATCAACAGTTGCTCTGTCAGAATATAGAGTGCCTGATCAGCATAGCTCTCTTACAGAAAACAATACATTCCAACTTGGTCTTCTAACTTCAAGTACTGAAGGTTCGTAATCACTTGGAAACAACTTTTAAGTCCATTAAATTTACCACCCTTATATTTTAATTTTCTTTATAAATTACCAATGAAGTATATAATTCCTTTGATCCATTTTATCATAAGTAAAATTATCATGATTATTAGTAAAAGAATAGTGAGCAACCACAATATTGAGCTTTTCTCTCTAATGGAATTAGAAAACTATTAATATAAACAATGTAGCTTATTACAAAGAGTCAAAAAATCCAAAAATGCATATAATTGCCAGGCAAAGGTGTTAGAATGAGCCTGTGTCAAACCTTTTTTTTTTTCTTTTTTTTCACATGAGAATCAGTCTAATGTTTAAAACAATACATAGAAGGGTAAACTCCACTTGCTCATTTAATAAGTATTTATTGAGTAGCTACTTATTGCAAGCTAGGCTCTTTTCTAGACACACAAAAATCCTACTCATGGGAGTGAAATAAACACCATAACAGTAGATAGATTAGGCAAAATATACAGTGTTAGAGGAGAAAAACTAAAGCAGGAAAATGAAATGTTTACAGGTTTGAGAGGAGGGGTGGGGGGAATTCTAGGATAGCCAGAAAAGTCCTTACTGAGAAAGGGGCTTTGAAGTAAAGAACTGAAGGAATGCAAAGAGAAAGCTAGGAGGCTAGCTGAGGAAAAGGCATCCCAGACACAGGGGAATGCCCAGTCAGAGGTCTGCCTGGAGTGTTTACGCAATAGTGATAGAAAAGGAAGAGCAAGAAGTTCAGTGAGAGCAAAGGGAATAAGAAACAGAAGTTTAAGTGAGAGAGAGAACAGGGCATATCACGTGTTGCCTTCTAGGTATGAGGAGGAACCCTGACACATACTCAGAGTGAAATGGGAGGCAATCAGATGGTCTGAGCAGAGGAATGACATTCATCTGACTTATGTTTTAAATACGGCCACTGAGTTAAGGATTAATGAAAAGAAGTTTCTTTAAAAAAACGAAACAAAACAAAACAAAAACAGAAAGACCAATTAACAGTCTATTACATGCATCTAGACAGTGGATGGTGGTGGCTTGGAAATGGAAGATATGACTGGCTTCTGGATATATTCTTCAGGTACTCCTGACAAGATCTGCTGACAGACTAGATGTGAGGTGTCAGAGAGAGAGGTGAGTCAAGGATGACACCTTAGTCTCTAGCAGAGCAACTGTAAGAGTTGCCATAAATGCAAGTAGGAAAGACTATGAGAGGGGTAGGTATGAGAAAGAATATCGGTACCCCAATCTTGGACCTGGTAAGTTTGTGATACCTAACAGTTCATGACCAATCAAACAGAGATGTCAAGTAGGCAGGTTGGCATAGAAGTCTGGAATTAAGGAGAGAGATCTAGGCTGCAGACATGTGTTTGGAAATCATTAGCACACACAAGGTAGTAAAAGTCATGAGAAAGAAGATTGAGGACTGCATCCTGGGACATACCATGTGTAAAAGGTGGGATATGAGAAGAAAGCAAAACAGACTATGACAGATGAACTAGAAAGGCAGGAAGAAAAGTCAGGTGAGTGAGTGAGATCCTGAAAGCCAAGTGAAGATACTGTTATGGAGGAGAGAGTTTTCCATTGGGTCCAATATTGCTGACAGGTTAAATAAAATGAGGTCTAAGAAACAATGTCTAGATTTACAAATCAGTGGTAAACTTGAGAACAACAATCTTGGAAGAGTGGTGGGAGTGAAAATTACTAGTGTCAGCTCAAGAGTGAATGGACAGGAAATCTGAATCCATGAGTATAAACCATTCTTTCAAGGTCATGAGTATAAACCATTCTTTCAAGGCCAACATACCTAGGGGCGTGACGTTGATGATCTAATTTTCTTCTTGTTTAGCTGTATTTTTCAATTCTTATATAACTATATACTATATTTTTACCCTTTAAAAGTTTTATTAAATCATATCTATATGGCATTTTTGAAATGCCAGATGAAGGTATTAAATAAAAAATTCATTAACTTATAAAACCAAAAGACCTCTTGAACATTTCTAGATTATATAAGCTGATTATCATTTGCTCATGCTTATATATAAAGACCAAGGAAGACTAACAGTTTCAGGAGAAGTATTTCTTGCTTGATAAAAATCATCTACCTCTAGAATATTTTATACTCATCAAATATACAAAGTAATAGTCAAAATATGGAATTCTATAACAAGAATGAAAGGGGACATATGCAGAAAATAATCTTATTTTGTAAACCAAATTTGTCGAAATTATATGAAGCTACTGTTGAAAAATATGGTGTGTTTCCTACTGAAATACATTATCTTTTAAAGGGAAGGATAATGGCATGCATGTAGGGTACCTTTAAAAAGAGGATTCACTGCATAACAGCACATTGGTTTTAGCCCAAGGATCAGCAAATTGGTGCCTGTGGACCAAATCCAGCCCACTGCCTGTTTTCATAAGGAAATTTCCTTGAAATACAGCCACACTTATTCCCTTTATAATTCACAAGGCCTAAAATATTTGCTAACTGACTCTTTACAAAAAGAGCTGTCCAATTCTTAGTTCAGTAAATCTAAGGTCCTGTGTTGTATTTTAGCAAGTCTTACCTAGTATATTGAAATGCTTATATGGAATATGAATCCCTATGTGCAATCCCTTGGCAATATTCAGATTAATTTGAGGATCTGGTATTTCAGCACTCATGCATTGAGAACAAAAAACAAAAATTTAATAACTAGAATTATGTTGCTAACAAGGTACAGTGTCAATGTAGCATGTAGCTAGCTTCCTTTTGTAACTCAGTAGATATTATGAGAATTCCAACAAAACTGGCTTAAGATGTGTCATTAAACCAAAGCCTTTAAATAGACTTTAATTGTGAAATAATAAGTACACTCCAGGTCTAACAACTTCTTTTATTAAAATGCTTGCATACTACATTATTTTCTGGGTATGACAATTGTACTATTTCCTTATTGCTAAGGATTTCGACTATCTCCAACTTTTTGATATTACAATGCTATAATAAATATCCTTATACATAAGTATATATATAACATATGTAAATATCCTTAACATAAATATATCATATATACTTAATATTATATTTAACCTATTAGCCTATTGTATGTTATATACTACATGTAATGTCTTTAACACATATGTGTATGTGTTTACACAAGTCATATTTTCCTGTAGGATCGCATCCCAAAAGTGAAGTTGTTAGGTTAAAGAAGTGACGTATTTGAAATTTTGATACATGCTACTAAATTACCCTGCAAAAAGGATTCATCAATTTCATTTAACAGCAGTGTATAAAAATGCCTTTTTCTTCACATTTGCCAATACTTCCTATTTATTAAATAAAATATCAATATGATTGGAAAACATGGTATCTCATTGTTAGTTTGCATTTTTCTGATAACCAAGGAAGGCTGAATATCCTAGTAAAAGTATAAAATTTGTTCATCATGAATATTAGCCCAAATTAGAATTCATTTCATAGCACATAATTGTCTCCTGTTTTTTGTTTCTGTTTCTGGTTTTTTGTTTTTTTTTTTTTTTTTGAGATGGAGTTCACCCTTTTTGGCCCGGCCTGGAGGCAATGGCATGATCACGGCTCACCGCAAACTCTGCCTCCCACAATCTCCGCCTCCCGGATTCAAGCGATTCTCTTGCCTCAGCCTCCTGAGTAACTAGGATTACAGGAATGCACCACTACACCTGGCTAATTCTGTAGTTTTAGTAGACACAGGGTTTCTCCATGTTGATCAGGCTGGTCTTGAACTCTCGACCTCAGGTGATTCACCTGCCTTGGCCTCCCAAAGTGCTGGATTACAGGCGTGAGCCACAGTGCCTGGCCAATTGTCTCCTGTTAAACGTTGCTGTAGACTTACCTGTCATGCTCTCCATTCTCCTTCCTAGGAATCTGCTGATTTAGTCCATCATCATCACTGCCAACAGTAGCACCATCAGTTAGGGTTCCTGTTAATTCCGTTCTATTACTTCTGTGCTTCTCTATTTCTTCTTCAACCTTGAGTGAGAGTTTGATGTTAAGGATGATTGTTATTGCTTTATTCAATACAAAGAACTTCTTTCTGCTTTCATTGATTTCATCACTCGACTCAGTTTAATTATCATACTTTTAGTCATTAAAATATTTGGTGCTTACTTTAATTTTATCACATCTGGAACTATCATCATATAATTATTTTAAGTTTATCATCAACATTTTTGTAAAGTCAGCTTCATTTCTGTTTCAATGAATGAGACAGAATTTTCCAAAATTTCAACAAGGGCCCTCCTTAATTTTGTGTTTTTATTCTCAACCACCCTTCACTATGTATTACGAATTTTTACCTAATTTGACTGGCACAAACACAGAAATAAGAAGACAAAGACACAAAGCATGTCTTCTTCTGTCTTTGCCACTTGGCTTCCATATTAAACAGCGAGATTGAGAGGATACAACACTGTGGGGCTTCAGGAACAGAAAGGAAGCTTCCCTTTTCTGCACTAAGTAATTCTTTTCTCCCACTAACTTTTGTCTTTTTTTTTTTTTTTTTCATGTGAATCCTGGGATATCAAAAAGGTGAAGGGGCTTACTGAAATACAAGTCTGCCACAACACAAAAAGCAGAGTGAAACTGCTGAGCTAGGGTGGAATTCTGGAAATGGGATGCTTCCCAAATTTCACGTTCAATAGCCATAAAAGTTTATAGCTGGGGGATATACAATATAAGAGTCTACTTTAGCCTACTGTCTATTGATAACTGGGCTAACACCAAAAATGATTAAAATGATTGATCCAAAGCCCCTAAGTGCCATTACCTAGCATTTTGTGGCACCAAAAGAGACAATACAACTCCATAATGCTGAATCAGACAAACTCAGCAAATTAATCAGATAGGTTAAAAGTGTGACTTGGGCAAAATAATTTAATGCCTTAGCGGAGGGTGGGAGGCCTGCCCTAATCAATGTAGAAGATTCAGCTTTCTACTTTGGCATCATATACTAAGTTTTTGGCTAAGCATTTATGCTACTTATATGGAAAAAATATATATGCCCAAACTTACTGTACTTTATTAAACAACATAACACAAAAGTCTGATTCAACAAAAACAGTGGAGAGTGGTTATATTAACAAATATATTAAAGGTATACACTTGTTGTTGAAAAATATTTAAAGTGGTCATGATGGAATTGTAAGTTCCAACAGTTTGAGTTAAACAGATAAACCTGAAAAGCACAATAAACAGATTCATTGGCCAGGAATATTTGCTGTAGCTCTCAGGGCTGGATACTTTTTTTTTTCTTTTCTAAGAGATGAGGTCTCACTATGTTGCCCAGGCTGGAATGCAGTAGCTATTCACAGGCACGATCCCACTACTGATCAGCACGGGAATTACTTACGACTTGCTCCATTTCCGACCTGGGCCAGTTCACCCTTCCTTAGCCAACCTGGTGGTGCCCCGCTCCCAGGAGGTCACCATATTGATGCCGAACTTAGTGTGAACACCTGATCGGCATAGCACACTATGGCCCAGAACACCTGGCCTCAAGCGATCCTCCTGCTTCAGGCTCCCAAGTAGCTGAGGCTACAGGTGTTTGCCACCATGCCTGCCAGATACATTTTTATATCTCTTCTTAGTCATTGCTTCCTTTCTACTGTATTCCCATCTTATTGTTAGACACAACTCATCTTTAAGTCAGTAAAAGGAAAAAGCCCTCAAGCTCCTCACATTTTCTTTAGCGATTTTCTTGATGCTTCTCCTGGTTCTGAAGGTCATATGATATATGGCTAAATGAGTTTCACAATCCATACGCCACTTGGAAGACTGACAGAGAGACTTAGGTCAATTAAGAAACAAAGATTATGAAAAAGTTTTCCTAAACTCCTATTACTTAGAAATCATCTGTTTCTACACACAATTCCAGATTTGGACAACCAAACTGTATGCTTTTCATGTGCTTTTCCTAAGTTGAAAATCAGAATGGACCAGATAATTAATAGAGAAAAAACAAAGAGTGGCAGCAGTAAAACCCTACCTCTTTATGAAGTTGAATGTTTTCTTTCTTCAAAGCCAGGAACTCTTCTTCTAATGTGTCGACCTCATTCTTAAACTTTTGCATGTCTTGCTGTAATTCCTCATGTAGATATACTTCTGATGTTCTGTCAGAATCTGGTGGTAAAGAACTCAGATTTTCTAATTTAGGTTTCAGGCTTTTATAGTTATTTGTACTGCAACTGTCACTATTTTGGTTCACATTTTTTGTCAAGGGGTAGGGGACAGGAAAGAGTGAGAGCATGACAGGCAGCAACAAAAGGCAGAGAGAGGCCTGAAAGAGTATATGTATTTGCCTACAATCGAGGGATGGGTCAGCAGGACAGGACCGGAAGTTCAGTAAGGCCAGAGAAAGGGCACACGGTGGAAAGGGCTAAAGATGGAGAGCAGAGCAGAAGTTACATTATGAAAGCCTTATGTATAATTTTAAATGAGTGGACACTAATGTTCTTAAGAGTGGTCCCTGGTCTTATTTGCACTGGTGATAAAACACTGTCAATGCCAAAACCAACATCCCTAGTGAACACATTTATTAACGCAAGGTGGTAGCTCATGTGGACACAGTCAAGGAGATACTATGCAGCAAATTCTTAATGAGTCTCATTAATTACTGACTTGGAAAGTCAATTCTATAATACACAAAGTTATAGAAATGATAGGAAGTACTTAATATTTGCTTTTGGAAGGTTTTTTTGTTTTTTGTTTTTTGAGATGGGGTCTCCCTCTATTGCCCAGGCTGGAGTGCAGTGGCGCAATCTCGGCTCACTGCAACCTCCACTTCCTGGGTTCAAGTGATTCTCCTGCTTCAGCCTCCTGAGTAGCTGGGATTACAGGTGTGCATCACCACAGCCGGTTGGTGGTTTTTTTTTTTGTATTTTTAGTAGAGATGGGATTTCACCATATTGGCCGGACTGGTCTCAAACTCCTGACCTTGTGATCCACCCGCCTCGGCCTCCTAAAGTGCTGAGATTACAGGCATGGGAAGGTGCCTTTTAAGTTATAGTGCATATAGTTATAACTAAGCTGTGAATTCAGAGCTGTAAAAATAAAGCAAAGAAACCACATTTTGTTTGAGTCAGCAATCTTTAGGTCTCTACTGAGTTATCCTAAATAAAATCTTACATTAGTCCCTAACCATACTTAGTCCCTACATTCTAAATATAATCCTACTTCCTAAAGAAAATCATGCTTTCCCCTAATTCTCCGTTATCTAGATGTTGCTTTGGTTAAAGGAAGAATACAAATATCCTGCCAAAAGGTATTCTGTTTGGTGCAAAAGGTGAGTAAACACAAAGCACATTCTACCAGAAAAAGTTTTAACTTTTTACAGTATTGTTAACTTTTTACATACTTGTTACAGAACTATAACAGTATGCAGGCAAGCAGAGGCACTCTAGGACTGAATTCTCTATGCTTTGTTACCTTCTTTGCTCTCTTTGTTTTCTGGTAGCTGTGATTGGCACAAGTCATGGAGATTATCATTCTCTGAGAGAAGTATAACTCCAATGTTCATCTTTTCTCGTTCTGCTAAGTTCATCTGTCCCAGTTCTTTGGTTGCTGACTGATTTTCAGGCATTGATGGTGATACAGATGGACATTTATCATCAACGTTCAGAATCTTGGATCTCTGACAAGTCTTGTCACTAAGGGTCAAATTAGTAGGATGCCAATCTGAAAAATCCGAAAATGAAGTTTTCATTTTTAGGATGTAAATAACACAATAATCTGACTAACCTGTATACATGCTTTCTTCACAGAAACAGTCCTACGTCCTGCTCTCTCCCAAAACACACTACGCATTCAGGCTTATTATATTTTACATGTCCTATGCTTGCAATTCATTCAGGTAAGTTTAATTAACTATCATCTCTCACTTTTCTATATTTTTACTGTTTACTATTACTTACTTTTATTCACTCAGCAGTCTCTATTACATATTTTGTTTTCTGTTAAGAATCTTCATGGATATAAATTTTTTATAAACAGAATTTATGTGTAACCATTTTAAGCTTAAATATACATGACAGCATTGTGTGTATGTATTGTAGAGACAGGATTTACAAAAATTCATAACAAATATACTTTGAAAACTATTCTAATTATAATGAGATGGTCTTTCCTCAATGCACCACTATCTTCAGAATTTACTTTCAAATACTTGGATAAACTTCATACATTTATTTGCAAAATGAGAGCCATAAGGGCCCTAACTGTTCCCATGTAAAAACAGGATTAGTCTAGGACCACACTAGATCCAAAGAGCACACAGTGCCACGAGACAGGAAAGGAATACGTAACAAAACTATTTTCCTTTTTCCTATATAAACAAAATTGCTGGGATTTAAATTTTTTAAGACAAGTGAAAGAAAAAAGCCAAAAACACAGAAGTGAAACTTTGAAGTCCATTTCATCATAAAGGGCACATTTATTCACAACCACATATGTGGTTTAAAATGTTGGCTCTAAATTATGATCTGAGAATCTCTGGAGTTTCAGGCCCGGGCAGGGCAGCCAAGACATCAAATAATACAAAATGTTACTTGCCATCTTCACTCTCGATCTCTTTCAAGTGTACAGTGGAGCTTTTCATGACATGGTGTGTCATAACATCATAGCTCTAATGGTGACTGGGTCATAGTTCTAAAGGCTATTGGAATGTATGGCTGTGCATGCTTGTTTTTCAAATATTTTAGTTTTTGTTTCTAAAACAGTAAATATCAAAAGATACAACCAACTTAAATAAAAGCTCTTTGGAATCTGCAATCATTTTTATTTATTTTAATTATTTATTTATCATCATGAAGACAGTTTAATTGAGACTCAGTCATTTGATAGAAAACCAGAGCTTCCTGTGTCAATAAGGACTGACCTCAAAAATGTAATGTGACCAGATAAAAGAAAGTTGCAAAATATGTAGAGTGTACAACAATTTATATACAATTTTAGGACAAGAAAACAAATTCTACATATTATTTATGATCATACACATATGTAACAAAATGTTTTAAAAGGGAATGTACATGATAAATGCTTAATTCAGGGTGTCGGTTACCTCTAGGCAATAATATTTAATCATATAAAATACTTCCTTTTTTTGAAGTATTATCTCATTTTACCACCCTCCATCATATCCACCTTCTTCTTTTCCCTTTATTTACTCCTATACTCTCTGCCTTTCACATTCTTTATTCCCCCTTTTACTCTTATTCTCTTCCTTCTATCCTGACATTGCATATCTAGGGTTCAGTACTATCCACAGTTCCAGGCATTCACTGGGGGGTCCTGGAACATATTGTCCATGGATAAGCGGGGAAAACTGTACATTTTGTTGTGTAGGTCTATGGGTACTGTGCTATGTTATATGGCAAAACATAGGGAAGAGATCAAGGACAAGGATCTTTGCAAAGGCTTTTCAGCTGCCAGTGGAGAAGAGCTCAAGGGAGACCAATGTACTCACTCTCACTAATCCTCTTCTGGGGCAGATGCTGGTTATGTTTACTTAGTTCTAGCTATTTTCTCTAGCACAAACAAGGCTCAAATTCACCTCCCATTTTATCTCCCATGGAAAGAACCACTGGAAAGATCACTCCCTTAAAGAGCTTATTCACTCTGAGCCATACCATTCATTCAGGGAAAAGCTTAAGAAGAAACACTGCCACGGTGGTGGCAGGTTTCCAGGGAGAACTACCTGATATGAAAAATACATATGAACAGAACTATCAGCTCACTCAAGCTGCCAGAATGTGCCAACAGTTGTTACTCTCTCTGGTGAAAACAAAATTATTTTTCATTTCTTGTAAAGAAAAACACTGGTATTTCCTATGACAGAGCATCTAGTTGTAGATGAGCCATATTATAATAATATAGACTATTTTCAAGCTCATCCCTAAAAGGAAGACAACCAGAGAAGAATATATTTATTCACCTGTAGTGTTCACTGCCTGATCTTCTTTTTAAGTGCAAGTTAAGTATGCAAGACTTTGATTCCAGTTTTATAAAGTCCAGCTCTTGAGATTATCCCGTCCCATTGCTAGAGTCTATCTGGACCCATCTTCTAGAGCACAATGGTCCAGTTAGTGCTGTGGAGTACTTCATGATGCCATTTTTCCCCACCCTCCCCATTACATGGCAAATGTCTACAGAAATCATGCTTTCTTGGCACGTCAAGTCATATGCCATCAGATCCTATTCCGATGAACAAAACATGAGGAAAACAAAGGCAAGGACAAAGAACATCTAAAATGACAGAATCAAATTACCATGGAACTTTATTGTTTAAATATTCAAAAAGATATCCACCACTGTTTTATTCCAACTATATGACTGGTCTGGAAAAAGCAAAACTATGGAGACACCAAAAAGACCAATGGTTGCTAGAAGCCAGTGGAGAGGAAAAGATGATAGAGGATAGAGGTGGAGGATAAAGGATATTTAGGGCAGTGAAACTATTTTGTCTATGATACTACAAGAGTGTATACATGCCATTACACATTTGTCCAACACCATAGAATGTACAACACCAAGAGTGAACCCTAATGTAAACTATGGATCTTGAGGGTGATGTGTCTGTCAAGGTAGATTCCTCAACTCTAACTCTGATGAACTCTGATGGGGGTTACTGATAATGAGGGAGGCTGTTCATATGTCAGGGGTCATGGGGAATATGGAAAATCTCTGTACCTTCTCAATTTTGCTGTGAATCTAAGACTGCTCGGAAAATAATGTTATTAATTTTAAAAAAAACATACTCAACTGAACTTGCTATTATCCTAAATTATAAAAGGACAGAGTCACCTTGAAAATTGCAAATCACTAAAGATCAAGGTAACAGAATATGAGTGCTATCTCCCAAACTGAAGCATACAAAAACACATAAAGCAATTAATTTTAATTGCATACTTAGGCAAAAAAATTGATAAAAATGATTGAATATCTACTCTTATTTGATAATTATAAACAGGGATTTAGCATAATATGAATCAAAATTGGTCCATCCATGAAAATAAAATGAAAGACAATTTTTATTCTAATTTTAAATCAGAACACATTATGCCTATTTTATCCCACAATTTTGCTGAAAGGCTAATCAGATAAGAAGGACAGATTATAATTACTTAATATTGTCATAGTAACTTATGTACCAATACCTGTTAAGTATTCACCAAATGACAAAAATGTAAGCAGCCTTGCTACTTTATATGAATAATGCAACGGAAACCAGTACAATGTTATGATCTATCATATTGTTTGCTATTATATTACATAAAATTTTAAGGTAACACCAAAAATTTAGTCAGGGGCACAGCTGCTGGGCAGCAAAGATTTCATATAGCAGGCACGAGACATCCATCCTTAGAAAGGCTTGCTTGCAGGGCTAGTCCTTGGCTGGTGTTTGGGACCTTGAAATTGGGAGGGTTCCCACCATTCCCGAACTTAGAAGAAGGGAATGGCTCACTGTGCCTAAACTGTTTGTGGAAATGTGGTTTACTATGAACAATTTCCTCCTGGGAGTCTAGAATTTTGTTACATGTGAGGGAGAGGAGAGGTTGCCTATGTGACTAGCCTCCCTCGAAAACATGGGTGCTGAGCCTCTAATGAAACTCTGGTAAGGTAGATAACACTGCACATGTGTCGTCAAAATTTGAGGCTGGGGGAATTAAGCATATCCTGCTAACTACACAGGAGATGACTCCTGTAGCTTGTGCCTAGCTTCCTTCAGACTTTGACACATGCACCTTTTCCCTTCTCGAATTTTGCTTTGTGTCTTTTCACTGTATTAAATGTAATAAATCAAAGCCCCAAGTATAACTGTCTGCTGAGTCCTGTGAGTCCTTCTCAGTGAATTACCAAACCTAGGGTGGTCTTGGGAACCCCTGATAAATTGCATTATACAATTTTTTTATTGTTTAAGTTGATGTGTTACATGTGACTATAATCAGAAGGTTATTTCACAGAATACCTTTCCCTAATCTGCTTATTTTTTATTTTTTGACATTTGCCTTGGAGATTTTTGTACAGTGGTGTGATCTTGGCTCACTGCAGCCTCTGCCTCCCAGGTTCAAGCGATTCCCCTGCCTCAGCCTCCCGAGTAGCTAGGACACAGGCGTGCACCACCACACCTGGCTAATTTTGTGTGTGTATTTTTAGTAGAGACAGGTTTCACCATGTTGGCCAGGATGGTCTTGATCTCCTGACCTTGTGATCTGCCCTCCTTGGCCTCCCAAAGTGCTGGGATTATAGGCATGAGCCACCGTGCCCGGCCCAAGATCAACTCATTTCTATAGTGTTCAAAAGTCTGGGCAGTGAGTGGTGGCCCACGTCTGTAATCCTAGCACTTGGAAGGCCGAGACGGGTGGATCACTTGAAGTCAGGAGTTTGAGACCAGCCTGTCAAACGTACCGAAACCCTGTCTCTACTAAAAATACAAAAATTAGCTGGGCATGGTGGCTCGCGCTTATAATCCCAGCTACTTGGGAGGCTGAGGCATGAGAATCACTTGAACCTGGGAGGCGGAGGTTGCAGTGAGCCGAGAGAACGACACTGCACTCCAGCTTGGGTGACAGAGTGAGACTTTGTCTCAAACAAAAAAAAAAGTCTGTCATAAGCTTGCCTTAGGTATTCACTTCATTCCCAACCATTCACATCTCATATGTTTTGCACTAGCAAAACTGAACTGCTCATAAATGCTGCAAAGTTTACTCAAGGATCTTACTTTTGCACTTGCTGCTCCTTCTGCCAAAGACACAATCTTCTGCCCACATCAGCCTTCTGCCTCTTTACCTAGAAAAGTTCTACTCACTCTGTATGCTTACCTTAAATTCTACCCACTTTTTTACAGCTTTCATTCCTTACCACATCAAGTGTCTGGCACATATTTAACATAATAAATGATTACCATATGCTTCCAGAGGGCATGTAACACACAGTAGTAGGCACTGAATAAATAATTAAGCAAATAATTAAAATGACAGTGATAATAACAAGCTCCTGGGTTTTGTTTGTTTGTTTGTTTTTCTTTTTTGAGACAGGATCTCACTCTGTTATCCAGATAGGAGTGCAGTGGCATGATCATAGCTCACTGTAGCCTCAAACACCCAGGCTCAAGCAATCCTCCCACCTCAGTCTCCCAAGTAGCTGGAAGACCAGGCACCTGGCACCATGCCCAGCTAATGTTTTATTATTATTTTTTTAAATTTAGTAGAGATGAGGTCTTGTCATGTTGCCCGGGCTGGCCTCAAACTTCTGGGTTCAAGTGATCCTCCCATCTCAGCCTCTCAAAGTGCTGAGATTACAGGTCTGCACCACTGTGGCTGGCCCCAACGGTATTTTTAAATGTTTGTATTCTGTAACACTAGAAAAAAAATGCTTAGTATCTAAAAGACATTTGATAATTATTTGTTAAGTGGACAAATGAATAAATGATTTCTTTGAAAATTCTGTTGAAAAAACACAGAAATTAAATAGAGAAAGCTCTATTCTATTATGAGCACCTCAAGGACCAAAACTGTGTCTATTTCCTGTTTGTCTCCTATAAGTTGCAAAACCTAACTTAGAGAAGTTCTTTGACTAATATGTACTAAATTAAAGGTGTCCTCTTACAGTTCAGATTGTCCAATGCATTAGGCATCACATCTTGGTAACACAGAAGCATTTTTGCTATTGTGAAACATTTTTATACTTTTATTATAATTTATTGAGCCTAGAGTTGGGCTATTTGAATATTTATTATGATAATCTTTTGGCTAATGGTAACAGCATATCTTGCTCTAACAAAATAACTGTTAACATAACAATTAACCAGCAGGTAGAAAAACACATCTTGTTCTAATGAAGTAAATATACCTCATTCAATTTCAAATTAGGGGGAAAGTCAATAATAGTGACACCTTGTTGGTTTATAAGTGTGTAACATGACCTGTACTTCTCAACAAGGAATTGCTTTTCTGACTTCTGCACTCAGAAGGTATCTTTAAAAAATAATTTCACATTAATATTAGTGCACATTGGGTATGTTTTGCAGGGTTTTGTTTTTTTTTCTGAGACAGGGTCTCACTCTGTCATCCAGGCTGTGATCACGATCACAGCTCACTACAGCCTTGACTCCCAGGCTCAAGCAATCCTCCCATCTCAGCCTTCCAAGCAGCTGGGATTACAGGTGTGCACCAAAACACCCAGCTAATTTTTTATTTGTTTTTGTAGAGATGTGGTCTCACTATGTCACTCAGGCTGGTCTGGAACTTCTGGACGCAAGCGATCTTCAAACCTAGGCCTCCCAACGTGCTGGGACTACAGGTGTGGGCCAGCACACCTGGCCATTTCGCAGTTTTTATTGCCATTTGTTTATGGTGCCAGAAAGGTATTGCTGAGTTTCCAGTTTTGAAACTAATTTCTTTTTTTTAGTGACACAAATCACTATGTAATATAGTTACCCTTTGAACAACACGCATTTGAACTGCAGGGGTCTGCTTATAAGCAGATTTTCTCCCACCTGAGACAGCGAAGACCAATCTTCCTCTTCCTCCTTCTCCTTAGCCTGCTCAACTTGAAGACTATGATGAAGAGTTATAAAATGATCCACTTGCATTTAATGAACAGTAAGCATATTTTTTCTTCCTCATGATTTTCTTAACAGTTTATTTCTCTAGCTTCCTTTATTGTAAGAATACAGCATATTAATACATATACCATACCAAACATACCTTAATTGACTATGTTATCAATAAGGCTGCTGGTCGCCGGGCGCGGTGGCTCACGCCTGTAATCCTAGCACTTTGGGAGGCCGAGACGGGTGGATCACAAGGTCAGGAGATCAAGACCATCCTGGCTAACATGGTGAAACCCCGTCTCTACTAAAAATATGAAAAATTAGCCAGGCGTGGTGGCAGGCGCCTGTAGTCCCACCTACTCGGGAGGGTGAGGCAGGAGAATGGCATGAACCCGGAAGGCAGAGCTTGCAGTGAGCCGAGATTGCGCCACTGCACTCCAGCCTGGGCGACAGAGCAAGACTCTGTCTCAGACAAAAAAAAAAAAAAAAAAAAAAAAAAAAAAAGGCTGCTGGTCAACAGTTGGCTATTAGTAGTTACGTTCTTGGGGAAGTCAAAAGTTATACACAGACTTTTGACTGCAGAGGGGATCAAGCATCCCTAAATTCCATGTTGTTAAGGGCCAACTGTGATTGATATTTATTTACTAAACATAAGTCATTTATTTTAAAAATTAAATAGAAGTTCCAATTTCATAACAAGTCTAATTCATTATAGTGTGACTATAAAGAAAACATACAACTTACTAACTTAAAAATATCTTTTTCCTATTTATACAAAAATATCACATAGGATGTTAGGGACCATAATTAAATAAATTTTTTTCAGACCAGATTGTTTGAAAAAATAAATGACCTGCAATTAACTTTTTAAATAATTGTGAAATCTAACCTACCAAGAAAGAAATTAAGAGAAAAATGTACAACAACTTACACACACAGGGATTATTTTTAAACTGCTCTTTCATGATCAAAACTTCCTTACTCTTACTTTTTTTATCTATGGTAGGACCACCGAAAATAATTCTCTATCAGAAGTCTTACCTGGATTGTTATTTTGAGGAAGACTTTCAGGTGTCTGTTTTTCCTTATATTCAGGAATTAGTTGCTGAATGCTATGGAAAAAATGTAATAAATGAAATTACTCTTTCGAAACAAATGAAAAATACCAAATATGTGAAATTTTTAGAGTATTTCAAACAATATTAGAGTTAATATCAGAACTTTAATTATCCCATATACTTCAATATGTGAGTTCTACCAACTTCTCTTTAAGCTTCTAAAGAAGAAAAAAAGACAAGTACTCCTGAATTGAAGGGAGTATATAGCTCCGTAAACTCACTCACATTAGCTTGGCATAATGGAAGGTGTCCTAGCGCTATTACCAGCAGCTATTTGTTCTCTGACAATTTGCTTCTCTTAGGCTCAATGTATTCTTCTAAAAAGCAAGGATTTTACTGCCTTATTTCACTAGGTTGTTAAAGATTTAACGAGATAACGTTTTGTAAATGCTCAGAGAAACAGTGAAGCAATGAAATAACTTGTCCTTGCGCTTTATTGCCAAAATGGTTTTGGAATCGCAAGTAAAACCCAATGTGTATTTTTTCCAGAGGTTCTAATATGCAAATGTTGCAGTTTTCCAAAACTGTAATTAAGTTCTAGTTTTGCTTATTAGTTTTTCTATTCTTTGTGGCTTACAATTTTGGGCATCACAGCTATTTCATAGTTTGTAACTAAATTTACTTGTAAATATATTATTTCATCAAACTAGATAACATCACTGTGCCCTGTTACTGAGCTCATCAATCACGTCAAGGGCAGAAAGCTAATAGATGTCAAGACCTAGGTTGGACTCCTGTTCCATACAGACTCAATCCCTGAATCGGCAGATCTTTGTTAGAACGATGCTCAATCCCCATGTTTATCTCCAACTGACATGGAAAACAACATTCTACTTTTATTTTTTGTTTTCAGTTCCATGAAAGAGATGCAAGTTGACATTCTCTCATTTCTGAGATACATACTAACAATATATTTATTTGCACACAACATCCCACTTGTTACTCAGCTCCATTCTCACTCCATAGATCACCTTACTGCATATTTTTGTAGTGAAAAATCACAATTATTAATATTAGGTGACACCCAGTTTGCTTTGATTCACACTGTTTCTTTGGAGCTAGTCAGCAAATAGTCAAATGAACTTCCAGTGATTGCGCAAAATATGGACCACTTCAAAAATCTGTGCATCATCCTTATACAGGGGCCATGCTAATTTTCTCTGCATTTTGTTTCGATTTTAGTATATGTTTGCTGCTGAAGCAAGTACAAAGATCTCCTTTTTTTTTTTTTTTTTTTTTTTTTGAGACAGAGTCTCGCTCTGTCCCCCAGGCTGGAGTGCAGTGGTGCGATCTCCGTTCACTGCAAGCTCTGCCTCCCCAGCTCATGCCATTCTCCTGCCTTAGCCTCCCCAGTAGCTGGGACTATAGGCACCTGCCACCACACCCGGCTAATTTTTTTCATATTTTTAGTAGAGACGGGGTTTCACTGTGTTAGCCAGGATGGTCTCGATCACCTGACCTCGTGATCTACCCGCCTCAGCCTCCCAAATTGCTAGGATTACAGGTGTGAGCCACTGTGCGCTGCCAAAGCTCTCCTTTTATACATGGATACTCATGATTCATGGATGAGGCTTAGCTCTGTTAAATCCAACTAACATACTTGAGACTCAGAATTCTGGTGACAGTTTCCTGCCACAACTCTGGGAAAGGATAATATAGGACCTTCCATGATCTAAGAAAAGGTATCACACTGGATATAAAGGGGCCTCAGCATACAGATCTGGTAGCAATGAAAAAAGGAAACTCACCTCCTTCTGCAACATTATTTGAACTGAACCCCGAGGGCCTAAAGGATAACTTATCATGAAGCTCTTGGCTAAGTCTAGGGTGAGATAAAAAGCATAACAGGCGGAGTTTCACCATGTTGGTCAGGCTGGTCTCAAACTTCTGACCTCGTGATCTGCCCTCCTCGGCCTCCCAAAGTGCTGGGATTACAGGCATGAGCCACCGAGCCCGGTCAACATGATGTTTTTAAGGATGGAAGAAGGAACCTGAGCGATAGTAGAATGTGTCTGCTGTATAATAGGTATTCAGCTTATGTTTGATGAATAAATTGAGAAAATGGATAAACACAGTGGGGAAGTGCAATATTTTTAAAGAAAACTCCTGTAAAGTAGAGCAACACTTTTGCAATAGTAATAATCATTTATATTTGCTCCCGTCTCACTAAGAGGCCTAGGCCCCTGACCCCTCCGAGGTTTCCCCATCCCAGGTGCCATGGGGCCTGCGGGCACCACAAAGCCGGTGTCCCCGACAGGATGGCGGGCCCGCCTCCTTCGCCTGGCCATTACCTCTTCTTCCTATCCCTCTTGTCCACGCCAGTGTCTCCAGGAGCCAGGACGCGCTCCACCCCAGGGACGTCGCCCGACCGGGCAGCTCTGTGGAGCTCACAGAGATATTCCAGGCGGAAGTCGTGCTGGGGCTGGTCTAAGGCGCCCTCATCGTGCTCGCTTTCGACGGCGCTGTTTTTCCACCAGCGCTGGTCCTCCTGGCTCCCGACGCTAGGGGTCTTCCTCATGGCGGAGACTGCCGGCTTCAGAGACCCCTCAGTCCCCGCTTTTCTCCACCCCCTCAGATCCCTCCCCGCTTTTCTCCACCCCAGAAGGCCATCAGTAGCGAGCTACTGCCTCGGCCACAACCTCCCAGCAGGAAAGCCCGCGGTTTCCAATCTGTGAAAGGAGCACCGCCAAGCCAGAAATGCCAAGCCAAGCGATCACTGCCACGCCACGCCAAGCGACTACCGCCAAGCCAAGCGACCACCGCAAAGCCTCGCGGGTAAGGCCAAGCCACGCGGGTAAGGCCAAGCCAAACCGTTACACACCAGTACGCCTGCGCTCCGGTGACGTCACTGCACCTGCAGTTCCAGCCTCCCAGGAAAAAACTCCTTGGCCTGCAGGTGGCGCTGCAGCTCCGGCACCGGCCTGGGCTGGCGGATCGTCCCTGGGAGGGTTCGGGGTGGCAGCGCCCAGCCTGCCTGTCATGAGTGACGCCTCACAGCGCCGGCGGCGCACCTGCTCCTCGGTTTGCTCGGTTCAGGGGTGCGGGCCACTTCCCGCCCCCTGCGCCGCCATCGCTTGGCAGCCCCGGGCTTGGCTACGGCAGCGAAGCTGCCCCGGGATCCGCGCTGCCAGGACGCAAGTGGAGTCGGATGGCTGGGTCCGAGCGGGCTGTCAGTCCAGCGGGAAGGGCCTGCCCGACCCAGCTGTCCGCCCAGCTCCTACTCGGCCTGCGCCCGGAGCCAGGGACCAGCTCTGGACATTCCGCTGCCTTAGGATGGGGCCGAGCAGCCGCTCCCCACCCTGTGCTGCAGCCGCCGCGCGCATCTGCCCAGGGTCCGTGCGGCTGGCGACCCAGGCGGGTCGGGGAACGCCTGGTGCCACCGGGGTTGTTAGCCTCCAGTCCGTCCTGACCCTGCAGCCCGCGAGCACCAGTGAAAGTTAAGAAAAGTGACAGCTGGGCGCGGTAGCTCACACCTGTAATGCCAGCACTTTGGGAGGTCGAGGCAGGCGGATCACTTGAGGTCAGGAGTTCGAGGCCAGCCTGGCCAACATAGTGAAACCCTGTCTCTACTAAAAATACAAAAATCAGCTGGGCATGATGGCGCACGCCTGTAGTCCCAGCTACTCCGGAGGCTGAGGCAGGAGAATCGCTTGAACCCAGGAGGTGGACGTTGCAGTGAGCTGTTATAGTGCCACTGAACTCCAGCCTGGGTGACAGAGCAAGACTCCGTCTCAAAAAAAGAAAGAAAATAAAAGAAGGAAAGAGAGAAAGAAGGAAAGAGAGAAGGAAGGAAGGGAGGGAGGGAGGGAGGGAGGGAAAGGAGGGAGGGAGGGGACAAAGGAGAATCTAGAGAGCACTCAGATACTAACTCTTGAGGACAATTAAGACAGATCGCATTATGAAAACTAGATTTTGTCACTGAAGCCTCAGGGCTTCAGCCTAGGTCCTGGGCTGCTCACCCACAGAAAGCCAATCACTGAGATGAGTATTGCAAAGGAAGAAGGCTTTAATTAGGTGCTGCAGCCGAGGAGATGGGAGCTCAGTCTCAAATCCATCTCTCTGACCAACTAAAATTAAGGATTTGTAGTATAGCAAGGAAGAAATGTAACTATGTATAAGAAAACATGAACTAGGAAGGAGTAAGGAAGCAATCATTTAAAAAAAGTATCTTCGGCCAGTTGTGGTGGCTCCAGGCCTGTAATCCCAGCACTTTGGGAAGCCAGGGCGGGCGGATCATGAGGTCAAGAGATCGAGACCATCCTGGCTAACATGGTGACCCCCTGTTCTCTACTAAAAATGCAAAACTTAGTTGGGTGTGGTGGCACGTGCCTGTAGTCCCAGCTACTGGGGAGGCCGAGACAAAAGAATCACTTGAACCCGGGAGGCAGAGGTTGCAGTGAGCCAAGATTGTGCCACTGCACTCCAACCTGGTGACAGGGCTAGACTCCATCTCAAAAAAATTTTTTAAAAAAGTAATATCTTCGCCTTGGCTCCTCAATCTTGGCGTGATTCCCCCCTGTAAGTGGTTTCTGGGGTCTCAGTTGGCATTTAGTCACACGTATGACATTGCACATATTGTGTGCACATCTGGACAGCTCAGCAGCGTCCTGGGTAAGCTTTGAAGGGTGATCTTCACATAAGCCTGTGGCCTGAGCAAGAAAGCTGCACATGGGCAGCAGAGGAGCCAGCAGGAGCCCTGTCCTCTGTGGAAAATTCTAGCACCACCCGCAAGGGCAGCTTCTGTGGAGACTGACCTGACAAGGATATATGCATGAAGATGCTGGTTTGAAAACAGACTCAGTGTAAGGGTGGGACTTTGAAAACATATCATTGATAAATGTCACTGAGAAAAAATAACTAGAAACAAAATATATTTATTAGAAATATTACAGTCATTTAACATACACTTTCCTGTGAATAGTTAAATACATCTAATTAGCATGTCGGATCCAAAAGTGCTGGATACAATCTAGTGTGCTGTTTATAGACACGAGGCTACAGATGTATCAACTACACTCAACTGATGTAGTTAAAATTAGTGTGCTACTCAGGATGTTACAGATTTAGCAAAACTCTAATCTGGATCAGAGGAGTGAAATGCCCTGTGAGTTGAGGCAACTGTAGATATTCAAAATGCTTCTAAAAAGGCTGTGAAGTTATATCCCTTACTGCATGTCATTGGTAGGTTATCTTAAAATGGCACTTGAGCTTTGGAAGAGTGAGAACTGTTGCTGGATTTGACAGTGGGTCTGCATCTAGAGGCCCGAGTCCTCCATCTCCACAAGCCACCCCTCAGTAGGGAAGAGGAGTGGGAGACTAAGGGAGGCTCTGTAATGTTTGTGGGCAGCAGGAAAGAGAACATGGCAGAGATTCCTCACCACTGGATGGCTTGTCCCCTGGGGATGTGTGTTTTTGTCTAACACCCACTGGCATCTACTTGGGTTGGTCTCTACAAAAGCTGTAAAACAACAACTGAATGAAAAAGGAAAACAAAAGACTAATATTGTTTTTGAAATGAAAGGGGCAAGGACAAGAGAAGTTCCTGAGAATGTTATCCCCACAGGGTGGGAGCCACGGGCTACCATCAGACAAGGAAAATTCAATCCATGTTCAATGCAGAGGACAACGACTTCTCACCTTGAAAAACTCCCCCACTCTACTGGGGCTTGCATTTTGCAGCTGTCTTTCATATAAAAATTATACATTAAAAAAAGGATCTTAAAAAAAGGATCTTCAGAACCACCAAAGAATTTTAAATGACTGTGTACTGGCTGAGGAAAGATGAAAAGAAACGTGGTTGTTGTGGCCTCTGAAAGTCTCAGGACAGAAACTGGGAATGGCACACTCTGCTGAGTATAGAAAATGTAAGATGCTGACCTTGTTTTCCCAGTATACCAACTTTCCACCTTCATCTGGTGCTCAGAGCTCTGTTAAAAACAGACCTAAAAACCCTACCCCTTGGCTTAGCTGTGGGGGGAGGCGCGGGGGGACTGCCTCCCCCAGGTCCTGCACCTCCACACACCAGCAGATGGGTTGGGGGAGCCTACTAGCTGCTGTGCTGGAGGGCCTATTCCTGCACCCCTGAGGCCATCAGTCACAGTTCCAGGACCCCAGCAGAACCTGCCCTTCCCCGAAAAACCACCTGTATTTCTTTTCTTTGTGTGTGTGTGTGTGTGTGTGACAGTGTCTCACTCTTTTGCCCAGGCCAGAGTACAGTGGCACAAACACAGCTTACTGCAGCCTCAAACTCCTGGGTGCAAGTGCTGCTCCCACCTCAGCCTCCCAAGCAGCTGAGACTACAGGTACCTATCATTGTACCCAGCTAATATTCTTTTTTAATGTGGGCCAGGCACAGTGGCTCACCCCTGAAGTCCCACACTTTGGAAGGCTGAGGCAGGCATATCACTTGAGGTCAGGAGTTCGAGACCAGCCTAGCCAACATGGTGAAACTGTTTCTACTAAAAATACAAAAATTTGCCAGGCATGGTGGCATGTGCCTGTAATCCCAGCTACTCAGGAGGCTGAGGCAGTAGAATCACTTGAATCTGGGAGGCGGATGTTGCAGTGAGCCTGTTGGGGTCCACGTGTTTCCTAAACAAAGGAATGAACACACAAGACAACACAAGACAAGACAAACATGGCAGCCGCCTCAAATGGCCCGCTCTGCTTTATTTTATTTTATTTTTTTTAAATTTTTTTTATTTTTTATTTTTTATTTTTTGAGACGGAGTCTTGCTCTGTCACCCGGGCTGGAGTGCAGAGGCCGGATCTCAGCTCACTGCAAGCTCCGCCTCCCGGGTTTACGCCATTCTCCTGCCTCAGCCTCCCGAGTAGCGGGGACTACAGGCGCCCGCCACCTCGCCCGGCTAGTTTTTTGTGTTTTTAGTAGAGACGGGGTTTCACTGTGTTAGCCAGGATGGTCTCGATCTCCTGACCTCGTGATCCGCCCATCTCGGCCTCCCAAAGTGCTGGGATTACAGGCTTGAGCCACTGCGCCTCTGCTTTATTTTATACAGTCGTTTGTGGAATGTTGCCAAGTCACAAGACACATTGTTGTTTTTCTGACCTTTCCCTGACTTTCTGGATTTTCAAGATGTTTACACACAAACAAGCCCCCAGGGTCTGCTGTTAGCAGCTGCCTCCTTGGTCCTCCCTGTTTGCAGGGAAGGAACACCCTGCTTCGTTTGCAAGAGCAGGACTTATCAGGAACGTCTCTTTTGCGAGCACATAGTCCTCTACAGAGCCAAAATCATACAACTCCAGCCTGGGAGGCAGAGTGAGACACTCTCTCAAAAAAAAAAAAAATTCTTTTTTTGTAGAGTCAGAGGTCTTGCCGTGTTGCCCAGGCTGGTCTCGAGCTCCTGGGCTCAAGCAATCCTCCCACCTCAACCTCCCAAAGTGCTGGGATTACAGGCATAAGCCACCATGCCTCACCACCATGTGTATTTCTACGGACAGAACATGGCATTCCTCTTCTACATGCACACTCACTGGCCAAAAAAAAAAGGTAGTCAGGGAAACTCCTTGAGTTATAAAAATAAATTGCGCATGGCCTTTCATGTTTCTTTCCTTCTTTTTAACCTAAAGAGAGCAGGATACAGACAAAAATG